GTGCTGGCTCAGGAATTCTGGAAGTTGGGAGTGTCTGAATCTTAAAAGTGGCTGAGGTTGAGAAAGACTGAACTAGATGACCTCCGAGAGCCCCTGTAACTCTAGGACTCTGAGAATTTAACCAGAACCTGACAAAAGAAAAATACAATTCCTTTCCTATTTCACCTCCGCTTTAGGGGAGGCATTTCACATCCACCCACCCCAAGAGAAGAAGGACAATATGCAAAGAATGGTTGAGATGTTTGTCCATCAAATTCTACCTTTGGGACCACAAAAGCAGCACAAAATTAGAGAAAGGAGGACATACCAGGAAACTGGTAGGTATACCCAGGTGCAATGCTGGTGTAGCTCCGGCTTGTGTAGGTGGCTGCCTGGAAACCTGGGTACCCTGTTGTGAAAGAAAGAAAGAAAGATCTCAGAAGGCCCCATAAAAACACTGCCCTGTCAATTAAAGATTGTATGATTAAATGGGCTCACAATATTTGAGAATCATATTGGAGATATGGGAAATCATTTGTATTATTATTATAGTTTTTTTTAAGTGATAAAGTTTACTTTGTAATTATTTTTATTGGGGATTATGGAAGATTTGAATTAAGAAATGAATAGCAGCAAGATGGCTGTTTTTATTTTGTTGAAATGGCAAAGATTAATTTTAGATATTTGGGTTTAGTGAAGATGGATAGATTATATGTTTAGAGTCTAAAATGTATATGCTTATATTTGATTGTTTTTATTTGAGTTAAAGTATGTTTATGTTTGACTGTTTTATATTCAGATAGTAATATTTAGATTTGGGACGATGTGTGTTTAACCCTGTAATCAGTTCTGGGAAGTCCGGGGGGTGAGGGGGGTGAGAGGGAGGGTAGAGAAATAAAATAATGAAGAGTATTAATGTAGAAATGAGTATTAAATTAGGAAAATTAATAATACTGAAGTCGTATCAATGTATGTTTATATTTGTATGGGGGGGGGTTATTTTGAAATTAATAAAAATTTTAAAACAACAAAAACACCGCCCTGTCCCCCTCTCCATCTACATCCAATTTTAATTTGAGGGCACAGAGGATGGGGCGTGTGGTCCTTCCTCGGCAATGTGCCTGCAGTTCTCTGGTTCTTCCAGAAGAGGGCGGTTCTTCCAGAAGAGGGCGTGCAGTTCTCTGGTTCTTCCAGAAGAGGGCAGTGCTTTCTCCTCTTACCCAACATGCCAATGCCCAGCATGAAGGCGTCCATTCCGTAGGGCATCACTCGGGAGCGTCCCCTCGCCGAGCCAGTGGGCGACATCACTTCCTTTGGCTGAGCTTTTTTACATTCCACCTGGCACCAAACACAACAGGAAGTCAGACTAAGGCAATCCTATAAAAGGGGGGGTGCCACGTTTTATTGCTATCGCAGGGCACCCTCCTGAATGTTGCTCCTGGACAACAATAAAAGGGCCCCTTGCAATAACACACGCAACACTCTCCCCTAATTACATCACCTTCCTCTTATTATTAATAATAATTTATTAAATTTATATGCCGCCTCACTCCCAGTGACTGGGCAGTTTATGAGCGGTGAAGAATACTTAAAATTAGGAGCAACACCAAACCACAAAAACAAGACAGACCGAAAGAGCAGAGCTGGGCAAACCCAGACGGGCACAAGGAAAAGAAAGGGGCATCAATCATCTGGCCTGGTTGAAGAGCCACATCTTCAGGGCTCTGAAATAATACCTGTGGGGTGGGGGATGTCTGGATCTCAGGGGGCACCTAATTTCAGAGGGCAGGAGATGCTACAGAGAAGATTCACTTCGAGGGTGTGATCCTAGATGGCACTGCTTAATCGTTGGAACCCAGAGTGTGCCAGCCCTGCCAGATTGAACCAGCTGGGTAGATGCTATGGAGACCGGTATTTAGGAAGGAAACATCTTAACTTTGCCTTCCCTCTCTGCCCTTTGCCTCAGAAATGCTGCCCAGGATTGGGGGGGAAAAATTAAGTTTCAGCTTTGCACTTTCAGACGGATAGACCATTGCCCAGAATTCCCCAAGGAGCACAACTGTTGCTAAGAGTTCTGGGTATTGAATTCCACACGTCTGGGGGGATACCTGACTGGACAAAGCTGATTTCCAGGCAGCAGAAGAATCCCCTGGTGCGTGTTGTCACTCAACGTCCCTCTGAGTGGGACCCCCGTTCTGTGACACTAAACTTGGCCAGACTCACCAGTAAGACAGCCAGACCACCACGGAGGGCCCCGGCTCACCTTGCAAAGGCCCACCTGACCCTCAGGCCCGGAGGGAGGAAAGGCTCAGCAACCTGGGGTGCCATCCATCCCATCAACCCAAACCCAATTTTCCTGGCCCTCACCATTTTGTTGTTGATCTCATGGAAGTGAATCTCGCAGACTTTCTCCACGATGTCTTCGCTTTCAAAGGTGACAAACCCAAACCCTGAAAGAGAGAAGAAGGGGGGGAAAAAACCCCAGCTCAGCCAAGTCAAGAGGCCCCACAAGGACCTCCGGGGCGCCGTCTGAAGGGCTCGGTCCCTTTCACAAGCTGTCATGGGATTAAAACAGCCGCCAGGCTGGCCCACTTCAAAACCGGAAAGGCAACAGGAATGTTATCCTATCCACTGTGTTTTTGACCTGGAAGGGTGGCCAACCTGAAGTTGGACTGGCCAGTAGAGTCAAATGCCATTTCTATGAGATGTAAATCTAAGGGACGGGTTTGGACAAAACTCGGCAGCCCTTTTTCGTGCGGCTGCTGATAAAAACAGGATTGCCAACATGATCGCCAACGTCCGATAACGGATATGGCACAACAAGAAGAAGAATGAGATGCCCAAAGACTCGCGAGTACTGGAACAAGACACGAAACTGGTTGAGGGATATATTAACACTGGATCTGAACTCTTCTTGTTGGGAATAACGACAGAAAAATACGACAAGGGAACAATCGACCTGCTGCTACACATCCTGACTGCCGCTAGGCTTGCTTTTGTGCAAAAATGGAAGAGCAAGGAAATTCCCACAGAGGAAGAGTTAATACATAAAATATTAGCATGTGCGGAAATGGACAGGCACACAATGATATTAAAAGACAAATGTGGATCAATTTATTTTGAAACCTGGGATAAATTTTACCGCTGGAGGAATTCGAAGAGGACGGTTAGGATTAAAGACGAATGTTAAGATAGAAATATATGTTATTTTAGAATAAGTATTGTATATAAAACTTAGATGTGTATGTAGAGATGAAGAACTGATTGTAAAATGTGGAATCATCTGATAAGAATGTATATACTGGAATGTCACGTTAAATCCAATGGTTTTTTTAAATTGTATTATAAATAAAATTTGTAAATAAAGAAGAAGAAGAAGAAGAAGAAGAAGAAGAAGAAGAAGAAGAAGAAGAAGAAGAAGAAGAAGAAGAAGAAGAAGAAGAAGAAGAAGAAGAAGAAGAAGAAGAAGAAGAAGAAGAAGAAGAAGAAGAAGAAGAA